CCAGATAGGGCTGGGGATTTACCTCGATGGTTCCGCCACCTATCTAGCAAGCACAATCCTGAGTTCAATCCCTGGTACCAGGAAAAAAAAAACAACAACAACAACAAACAAAATAACAGCAACAAACAAAACCTGAAAGAAAACTATGTCCACACGTTGAATTTGAGGGTGTTAAAGACAAAGACTATCCAAGGCTTGATAGGCTATATTAGGTATTTGATTTTTTGGTGGGGTACTGGGGATCAAACTCGGGCCTTGTGCTTTCGAGGTAGACAGCAGAACCACTGAGCTAAATCCCCAACCCTTAATTGGCTATATATATATTTTGTTTGTTTGTTTTGGTACCAGGGATCAAACTTGGATCCTTGTGCTTGCAAGGCAGGCAGCAGAACCACTGAGCTAAGTCCCCAGTCCAATAGGCTATATTAAAACAGTATATTTACCAAGTAATTTCAACATCTAGCAGAATTCAGTAAATAAAGCCATATAGCATTTAGGAATTCTTTTGCCAAGATTGGTAATTAGCATATTGTTATTCTTCACACTCCCATTTTTTTTTGTACTAGGGATTGAACTCAGGAACTTGCACTTGCCAGGCAGGCACTGGCACCACTGAGCTACATCCCTGGCCCTTCACATTCCCATATTGAAGGGTACTCTTGAGAGTACTACACATAGGTAGGAGTTTGGGGATCCAGGAATTTAAATGGGTCACTGTAAAAGCATGCTGTGGTTGGGTCCTAATATATAGGTAATACAGACTGGGGAGCCAGGGATTTAGCCCAGTGATTCTGCTGCCTGCCTCACAAGCATAAGATACATTTTATGATTAATAATTTTGTAAGATGTGTGTGCTTTAAATCTGGGTTCTTGAGTGTTTCAGGCCTTCCTAAGACCTACAGGTCTTGGACTTGGCTTCTCCCAGCAGCTGATACCAAAATCCTTATCCTTTACTATAACCTGTAGGGGCCAGGAAAAAAAAAAAAAAAAAAAAAAAGCCAGGCATCTAAAATTATAGCATCCACTATAAAAACAGGCTGGGGCCAGGGATTTGGCTCAGTGGTTCTGCCAGCTGCCTCACAGGCACAAGGGTCCAAGTTTGAAAACAGGATCAACCACCATTCTACATGAAATAAAATGTAGAGTACTCCTCCCCCATTAAGTTTATTGGTACATTTAAAGCAAACAGTAGTTACATTTATCATTGGGATTTTGTACCTTTACATGATGTCTTCTGAGTACTTTTGTTTTGAGGGCACTAGTGACAACCCAGCTCACACAAACTGTGTTGAATATTAAAAAAGGAATGTTTTAACAAATGTGACAATGAACCAAGTATATGAGCTATCACAGCCTTACTTTACTGTTCTATCAGCTGAAAGAATACCTCAGTATCAAGAGCACTTCTAACGCTCAGGTATTGTTTCCTTAACACCATCTTCCAGTAATAAAAACTAGGGAGAAATGCCAGATTCTGGGATTAAGCCAAAAGTATACAAAAGTTGATCTTGGAACATCTTACAGTGCCATAAAGAGGAAATGTTCCAAAAAGTGGAAACAAAAACAAAATCACAAGAATGTCAAAGGAATATAAGATATTTATGAGGTTATCCCCAAAGAACCAACTAAGTTCCATTAGTCAAAGCTGCAATACTTTGAAGCAAAAATTACCGGATTACCCAAAGTATAAACATACCTGACTCCACAGGAATATGAATGGTAAGTTTCTTTGAACATAATTCCAAATAACCTGTATGGATATCTACCCTCCAGGGTGGCACAACTCCCTACTCCTTCACTAAGTGTGGAGTGCTCATTCCAAAGAGCACAGTATGGAAAGGGGAAGAGGCGTAGCTATGGTGGAGAAACCTGCTAAGTAAGACCATAACCAAGTGATTAAGGCTAATTATCAACAGGATTAAGTCATGTTTGATAGTAACATATCCTTGATACACAATGAAGATTGTATTTCACCTCTGTGGTCTTTCTTCCCAAAACCCATACAACACCCTAATCATGTGGGGCTGGGGAAAATAAAGGGATTTCTTCCCATAAATTCTGAAGTAATTGATCAGTACACTCCTCAAAACTTGTAAGCTAATTAGAAAGAAAGTCTAAAAAGTTGTCACAGCTATGGGGAGGCTAAGATGACATATCAAAGGCAATGAATGTGATAGGACCCTGATACTGACAAAGGACATTAAGTAACCTAATGAAGGACCCAGATACAACTTAGTGGAAGAACAGTTACTTGGCATGTTCCTGGGTTTTATTCCAGCACTGTCAAAACAGAAGCTAAATCTTGGCAAGATATTTACTTAATACTAATACCTATGAGCCCAAAAATAGGACCATCAATTATTGGGGTAGAATGGGTATGTCCTTTATGGAATTCTTCACAATGTATTTGTGAATTTTCTTTTCTTTTTTTTTTTTGGTACCGGGGATCGAACTCGGGTCCTTGCGCTTGCAAGGCAGGCCACCGAACCGCTGAGCTAAATCCCCGGCCCCTATTTGTGAATTTTCCATAAATCTAAAATCATGCTAAAGTAATCTCAGCTCCAGGGCCATTTTATCACCACTTTTCAAAAAGATGCTTTAACAAGCATCACAGAGCATTCTCGTATCCCCAAAAGCCTTCACTAGACAGGAAAGGCAAATATCAGGGTCCTTTGAGACAGATATTAGGCTACTTAAGTGATAAATATATGATCTAACAAGTTGGCTCATAATTGTTCCTAAGTAACAGATGTTGCTAAGCAAAGATTTAAAGTATTACAGCTAATTTGTTAACTCAGTGAAACTGTTTTCTAAGAGAATCGACAGGTCCATTAACTAACGCTGTTCATAAAGTCCTAATTAAGCAGCAAGATTCACAGGAGTTATTGTCACTCTTTTAAGTTCTTAATTAGTTGCTCATAGCAGGTTGTCTTCCTTTGTGTAAATTACTAGGCACTTAGCTACCTGTGTCCCTTCGGGGCTTGTAGAATTTATCCCTCTGGGCTCCATTTTCCTGACTGAAATGTGAGACATGATCTAAAATTTCAATGTAAGAAATATCCAATGTCACTGGGAGTAGTGGTACATGCCTGAAATCCCAGCACTTGGAAGGCTGAGGCAGGAGGATCGCTGTTGAGTTTGAGGCCAGTCTGGACTACATAAAGAGACCTTGTCTCAAACAAAGATTCTGATGTCACTAAATTCTTTTTTGGGGGTAATGGAAATTGAACTTAGGACCCTGAGCTTTCCAGGCAGATATGGTGCCACTGAGCTAAATCCCCTGTCTTATAGTCAGTAATTTCTTTGAAACCAGCAAGTGACATAAAATGACAGGTATCATAGCAGTTATTAAGTACAGTCTCCACTTACCTTTAAAGTTTTCCCTCTTAATGGGAGTACAGTCCTGAATCCTAAAACTTGGGTCACAGCAATAAGGGTATTTGTGTTTATTTCTACTATGGCAGTGGGCAGCTTGTACATTCAGACCATTAACCCTGCCAGGCTAATTCCATTTTCCATTGCTACATAGAAGGATGATAGTTGAATAAGCTAGGCTAAAGTTTACTTAATCTTCTTATAATCAATCACCAGGGCATAAGTTTCTCTGCTTAAAAAAAAAAAATCAAGTCAACAAGGATAAGGTGACTAACATATCAAGTAGAAAATCCCATCATTTAAATATACATGATTAGATCATTGAAAACTCTTGGGGCACTGAAATACAGGCACACAAACATCTAAGGAATTACCCCTTTTTAAGCAGCAACATAGAAATCTCTGCACTAATCTCGTAGCCCTACTATGATTAGGAAGGCCTGAAACACTCAAGCACCCAGATTTAAAGCACACACATCTTACAAAATTATTAATCATAAAATGTATCTTTCCCTGGTAGTTTGTGATGAAAGGCTGTGCTGGAAAGTGAAGACTGCTTGCTGTTCTTAAGACTCCCCCTGGAGTATAGATTAAAAGTTGACAATGGGGCCGGACATGGCGCACACCTGTAATCCCAGCACTCATCACTGAGTTGCTGGAAAGTGAAGACTGCTTGCTGTTCTTAAGACTCCCCCTGGAGTATAGATTAAAAGTTGACAATGGGGCCGGACATGGCGCACACCTGTAATCCCAGCACTCAGATCACTGAGTTCGAGACCAGCCTGGGCTACATAGTGAGTTCCAGGTCAATCTCAACTACATAGTGAGACCCTGTCCCCCCAAAAAAAACCCAAAAAAACAATGGGACTGGGGATTTAGTTCAGTGGTTCTGCTGCCTGCTTCACAAGTGCAAGAACTCGAGTTCAATTCCTGGTACCAAAAAATAAAATAAAATAAATTTTTCCCCCTATTTTTTTGACACAGGGTTTCACTGTGTAGTTCAGGCTGGCCTCAGAATCGTGGCAATCTTCCTGTCTCAGTCTCCTGAGTGCTGAGATCACAGACACATACCACCAGATTTGGCTGTGCTTGGAAACTGACACTTTGTATAAGGCCACTCCTCATATATATAGTACTGGGCTTATGGATTAAATCCAGGGCCTTGTGCAGTACTTCATCTTTAGCCCTTTTTAATTGAGACAGGGTCTTGCTAAATTGCTGGCTTTTATCAGAGGCTAATCAATCCCTGCCTAGAAAGGGGGATGGTGAGGACTTAAAAAAAAAAAAGACAACAGTGCTGGGGGTTTAGCTCAGTGGCACCAAACCTGCTTCCCAAGTGTAAGGTCCTGAAGTTCAATCCCTGGTACCAAGCGAAAAAAAAGAAATGAAAGACAGCGGAGACTTGCATAATTTCAAAGTATATGGGGGGCTGGGAGGTCAGTGCCTCAGAGTGGGCAAAGACTCTCCAAGCTAACCACTATTTATTGGGTACACACAATAACTGGAGGGAGCATCAGGTGACTTAACTTAGGGAGTGGAGGTACTCACTCCTATGATGATGGAGGCAGTAAAGAGAATATTTTTACAATCGGTGGAATGAATAAAGCTGGTAAGGAATTTGTCCCTCCCTCAGGATAAATTACTACCCATTTCTCAAGGAACCACCAGGATGGCTTTAGCTGATGTAATCTTGCCCTTGAGTAATCACAGCATCACAGGACCACTGAGTTCTCACCTGTGACAGGAGGCAAACATGGAGTTATGATTTAGTATGTCATATCTAGCCTATAGGGAAGAAAACTAAGCCTAATTATAATTTAACTGTGAAATGATTTCCCCCCAAATTATGTAGAATGGCTCCCAGCAGCGTCTGAACTTGCAATCCCCCTGCCTTAACCTCTCAGAATGCTGGGGTGATAGGCATGAACCATTGTTCCCACCTGTTTAAGACTTTCTTTCACATTACAACTGCAAATTAATTGCAAATAACACATGGCCGCATAAGCCAAATATGTACTGTCTTGCTCATTACATGAGCTTGTCCCAACCTCTACTCTAGAACAGTAAATAATAAATTGCCTACATTGGCACAATGTCTGAGCTGTGTTATATAGTAGTCACTAGCCAGAGACACTGTGATTGAAAAACTGATTTAATTTATATCAACTTAAATATCCATAATTAAAGTACAAAGATATTGTACAGCAAAGCTCTGAGAAATGACAGCTGGATAGCTAAACATTCTTCTCCCGAATTTAATCCCCTATAATCTGAACTAATCAGGACCTACATGACAAAAGAACGTCATACATTACTCAATGTGTCACAGGGGTGTCAGACATCTGAAGTCCTGATGGAGGCAGGTTTCTCATTCACATGAAGTTGTCTAGGATTAAAGGAGGTAAAGGATGACAAGCTGTTCTTACAAGGGTCCTCGAGGTACTAAGAATTAAACTCAGGGCTTTGTGCCCCACAGGAAAGCACTCTGCCACTGAGCTACACTCCTAGCTCGCCAAGGTTTTTTCCTAATATAAATAAATGTTTGTACCCAGACTAGGACCACCTCCACAGCAGAAGGCAGTCCACTCTCAGAGGTACAAAACACTGCTCAAAGGCACTACACCACAACACCAAAACAGCGTGTGGAGCCAACCTCAACAAAGTCAGTGCTTGCTCTTCCAACAGTGTAACACAATCACAGGCACCACACTAGCCCGGATAGCTGACAACTGCTGGATTATGCCAAATACAGATTTTTCATTTGCTTCACATTACAGGCTCACCAGGCAGGAGACATGTATTCAAGAATCATCATCATAAAAAAAAAGGAATAATCATCAGGGCTGGGGATTTAGCTCAGTGGTGCTGCCACTTGCCTTGCACACCTGTCTCACAAGCACAAGGTCCAAAGTTCGATCCCTGGTACAAAAAACAATCATCACGCCCATGTGGTTAAATAACAGGTGTGGAAAGACTTTCCAAGGTTGCTGTAGTTTTGCTGAATATTTGGGGAGTTCCTGCTATATGTCACAGACTTAGCTTGGGATCTAGCTCTGAACAAAGCAAAATACACCATTCTTTCCCTCATGGAATTACAATCACCCTGTAAATTTCTCAGATGGAAGAATACAGCAAATCTCCAAGATCCTTCTTTACACAGATCACCAAAATCCTACTTTCATTTCCCAGAGACTAAGTTTGTTAGAGGCAAATATAAATGCCTCCCAGTTGTCTCCTCATGGATACCAAGTAGCCAGCAGGCCTGGCATGGAGGGAGGTAGTCAGTACTGGAAGGTCATTTACCTGAAAACTCCATATCCACACTGCCCACCTGCTATTATTCCATCTCATCTCTTCAGGAGGGTAAATACTGTTTTTTATGTCAACCTAAAAAGGAAAGCAAGCAAAACTTTAGTGTCCCATTATAAAGAGAATGACTATAGTAACAACGCATTATTTAAAAATTGCTAATTATATTTTAAAAGTACTCTCCATACATAGTTATATGCAACTAATAAAAGACAAGTAGAAGTGGCATATTTCCCATGGATTTCACTGGTTACTGTCTAAGACTGATAGGGCTCCTAATGCCCCTTACCCATAGAGGTAGAAACAGTGCTGGATAGGATTCCAGATTTACCATAGTTCCCTCTATTTTGAGGTTTCCCTGCCTATGAGTATTATGAAGCTAACCATCCCCCAAACCCACTGGATATCCCTTGTCTTAAGACCCCCACATGTGAAAAGCTATGCACAATTAACATTTGAGGCATTAACAAAGCCCTTAGTATTTAACTGGGAGAATCCCTTCAACAGAAAAGCCAACTGGTGGAACAAAACAAGCTTTGATAACTTAGTTCCCCGCCCCTCCCCCATCTTTGCCATTTCCTCCTGTGGCTACTAGGATGGTACTTTTCAAAGAAGCAGTAACTAAGTCAGCTCTACTGGACAATCTCCAGAACCATCCTGAGTAGTAAAGCTTTTTCTAGAACTGAGTCTCTTCTCAGAAAATTATCATTTCTAAAACAAAATCACTATGAAGGGGATTCAATACTTACTAAAGGGGCAACAACTGTTCACTTCTGAAAATTAGTACCAATACAAATATGCTGTCAGCTCAAAGCAGAAATTGGTGGTTTTATCTAGGTCTACCTGAGGCCTTTCAACCATTTAACATTTTAATATTTTATTAAAGAGCTAGAGAATGACCATAATTTTGCTGTTAAGACAGGATCTTACTATGTTGCCTGGGAAGGTCTTAGGTGATTTCCCTGCCTTGGTCTTCATGCCACCCATATTTTCTTT